ACCTTTGTCCTTTTCAAGTTTTAAATTTTTCATTAAAAAAAAGGTTTTAATTTTATTACGAATTATGTTCGATTCAATCTATATATAATTAAATTTTTTTTGCTTAGAATTAAAAGGATTGGTCAAGTAGCTTGTAACTCAATGTCACCTCTATGACTTTTCTAAATGGGAGGTCACAAATTTGAATTCTAGTGGAGGCATTGACTCTTTGTGCTTTAATAGTTTCGGAAAATATGGACAGATAATATATGCATTGACTCTTTGTACTTCAATAGGTTGAGAAAGTATAGACATATAATACATTGTAATAGAGTCAGTAGTACTCAAAAATAAAAGAATTAAAAACATTGAATATGATTAGTGGCCAATTTAGGAGTAGGAAAATGTGATAACGTGTTAGTGATATATTTGCGCATGTTTTCTATTACAAATTGTTTTGCATGTTTGATTATTGTATGCAAGTATATAGAAGTACATTTTAAAAAAATTTCGAGTCAAATCGAATTTAACTATTTTAATATTTGTGATAAAATGGAAATTTTATAAATTTTTATGAGTGGGGTGCGTAAAAATGGGTTGATGATCATCTATAAATTTGCAACGATTTCTAGAGGATTATAATACAATCTTATATCAATTGCACAAGAGATTAAGGAGTGATTCTTAAATTAGGGTCAAACCTCTAATATATCGAGTTAGTTTTTATTAGGGGTGAGTGCGAAATATATTTGAGCGAATTTGAAAATTTGAGATGAATCAGCATCTAATTCGCTAAAGGTGAATTTAAAAAATCACATCTGCATTCCACATTCACATCCACTAAGGGTGTGGACGATCCAATCTAATCTGCTCCGCTAGTGACGAATTTGGCATATTGAATACGGATAGGAGGGATCGGAGGATTTTAAGTTTAAATATAAAATATATTATAATATAATATTTCAAGTTTTCAAAAATTAAAATCACAAATTATCAAAAGTCCAATTTAAAAAAAAAAACACAAGATATATATTCAATTTTAAAATTAAACATAATTAATTTAAAACTCAAACAAATTTAAATTACAAATCTTCATTTATCTTCAACATAGTGTGTTATTGAAAATGATTATAACTTTAGATTTGAAGTACATTGGTCATAAGACCCTCAATAGTGAGCTACTAGGCTTTAGTCTATACTCTGTGTGTATGTGTATAACACTAGCATATTGGATATTGTAAGCTTTGTTATGTACGCATGAATACATGGAGGAGTGAGAATAATATATTAAGTATGTATATTTGCTTGCAGTGAATTGAGGAGTACATAGCATATATACAAGATGATGTTAACGGTAAAATAAATAGAAAAGGTAAGAATAAATAAAATAAAGATATTTACCTAAAGAATATACTAATAGTTTGGAAATAATATAACTAAATATACACATAATTGATATAGCAAATATTCTTCTACACTCCCCCTCAAGCTCAAGGGTGGTACATGAGCTTGGAAGTGATGGCGTCGAATGGTTGAGGAAGGAGACTCTTTGTAAATATGTCGGCTAGTTGTTGATTGGATGGAACAAAAACAGTGCGTAGTGTGCCATTATTGATTTTTTCTCGTACAAAATGACAGTCGATTTCCACATGTTTTGTCCTTTCATGAAAGACGGGGTTATTGGCAATGTGGAGAGACGCTTGATTGTCACAATGCAATTGTGCATGATGATCTGGTATATCTAATTCTGAGAGGAGTAATTGAAGCCAAGTGAGTTCACTGGCTGCATTGGCCATGGCACGGTATTCAGCTTCAGCAGAGGATCGTGATACTGTTGTTTGCTTCTTTGTTCGCCAAGATAGGGGACTTGTTCCTAGAAAAGTGCAATATCCCGTAGTTGAGCGTCGTGTGGTTGGACATGAAGCCCAATCGGCATCACAGTAGACATGTAACTTTAAAGAGCTATGTGTAGATAACAGAATGCCAAGATCTGGTGATTTTTTGAGATAACGTACAACCCTAAGCGCGGCTTGCCAATGCACATCACGTGGTGCAGATATGAATTGCGAAAAGAGATTAACTGCATAAGTGATGTCTGGCCGAGTGACTGTGAGGTAGAGAAGGCGACCAACGAGTCGTCTATATGTGGATGGGTCTGCAAGAAGTTCACCTGTGTTAGGAGTGAGTTGATGACTAACCTCTATAGGAGTTGGGGCGGGTTTACAAGCCAAGATTCCCATATTTGAGAGAATTTCAAGGGCATATTTCCTTTGATTCAAAAAAATTCCAGCAGAGGAACGTGCAACTTCTATTCCAAGGAAGTACTTCAATGATCCCAAGTACTTGAGTTGAAATTGGTTCGCTATGTACTGTTTGAGGATAGTAATGATGGTCGGATCATTACCTGTTATAACAATATCATCAACATAAACAAGCAAAATAGTTAGAAAATTTCCACGTTTGTAAGTGAACATGGAATGATCTGCTTTAGATTGTACAAAACCGGCGTTGGTGAGGGATGTGGAAAAAGTCATGAACCATGATCGTGATGCTTGTTTGAGCCCGTAAAGAGATTTGTGGAGACGACAAACCCGATTCTCCCCATTTCGCCTAAAACCTGGAGGGACTTGCATGTATACTTCTTCATGAAGTGTTCCATGAAGGAAGGCATTAGAGACGTCAAGTTGATGAGTAGCCCATCCTCGTACGGCTGCGATGCTAAGAACTGTACGGACTGTGACAAGCTTTGTTACAGGAGCAAAGACATCAGTGAAATCAAATCCTTCTAGTTGAGAGTATCCTTTTGCTACCAAGCGGGCTTTGTATCGCTCAACAGAACCATCAGGTTTGTATTTGATACGGTAAACCCATCGACATCCAATAGCGGACTTACCAGGCGGAAGAGTTGTCAAAGACCAAGTATTGTTTGCTTCTAGAGAATTTATTTCGTCTTGCATAGCTCTTTTCCACTTAGGGTCAGTTTGTGCAGCAGAGAAAGAGGATGGCTCAGATTCTTTGGTGATATTATTGATAAAGCAAATGTGACTAGGATTGTATGCTCTAGAGTCAAGACAAAAAGAAATGGGATATTTTGGTGTTGTAGACACGTTGCATATGTAGCTAGAAAGGTAACTGGGAGTTTTATGTTGCCTTTGAGATCGTCGAACGGGGGTTGGTGATAGTGGTGGAGAATTGGAGCATGGTTGTTCATTTATGGGTGAGTTAGTTATGGAATGATTGCTTTCAGGCAAAGGTGTTTCTGGAACAGCTGGTATATCTGTGGTAGGGGTAGTGTGTTTATCAAGGTGTACAGTAATTGGTGTGTTTTGTTCTTCAATGGATGGTATATGTAGCGGCAATATGGGGTTGAAAGTTGATTGCGTAGCTAAAGCAGGTTCATCTTTAAAAGGAAAAATATTCTCATAAAAAACAACATCTCGACTCACAAAAACTTTATGAGAGTTAAGGTCATATAGTTTATAGGCTTTTTGACCTTGAGGATAGCCAAGGAAAATGCAACGCTTTGCTCTAGGATCAAACTTATTAGGGTGATTTTGTATGGTAGATGCATAACATAGGCAACCAAAAGCACGTAAGGTAGTAAAATCAGGGGAATGTCCAAACAGGACTTCAAAAGGAGTTTTATTTTGCAAGATTGGGGTAGGGGTACGATTGATAAGATAAGTAGCAGTTAAAACACAATCGCCCCAAAATTTTAGGGGTAGTCCTGCTTGAAAGCGCAGAGCACGTGCCACATTAAGAAGATGACGGTGCTTGCGTTCAACAACCCCATTTTGTTGGGGTGTGCTAGGACAACTGGATTGTTGCAAAATTCCATATTGAAGTAAGATATTTTGAAAATCAATTTTTGTGAACTCAGAACCATTGTCAGATCGAAATGTTTTAACACATGTATTAAAATGATTCTTAACATATGCTAAGAAATGAACAAGCAACAAAAAAACATCAGAATTGTATTTCATCATAAAAATCCAAGTAGCTCTAGAATAATCATCAACGATAGTTAAAAAATAATGATGTCCAGTCCGGGTAGGAATAGAATACTTACCCCAAATGTCAACATGAATTAAATCAAAACAAGCATTAGTTGAAGTATGACTTCTGTTTGGACATATGACAAATATCACAAGGATCTTTAAAATCAGAACAACCTAATGTAGAAATTAAATATTTAAAAACTGAATGAGATGGGTGGCCAAAACGAGAATGACATGTATTAGGAGTGACGGTGGTTAATGCAGTGGATTGCGGTGTATCACTAAAGAAATATAAGCCATTGCGTTCATGGCCCCGACCAATCTCCATCTTCGTGGAAAGGTCCTGAAACACACAATAATTAGGAAAGAAAATGACAGTGCAATTTGAATCTTTTGCTAATTTTTGCACAGATAGTAAGTTAAATTTAAATGTAGGGACATATAAAACATCAGTAAGATTAATATTTGGGGATATACGAGCCTGTCCAATACCACATACAGGAATTGCATTACCAGTAGGAACAGATATATTTTTGACAATATTATTATATTTAGGCAATTCAGTAAAAATAAAGAGATTAAAACAAACATGATCAGTAGCACCTGTTTCAATAACCCATTCATTTGAAATATTGAAAATTGATGTTAAAGCTATGGACTTACCAACGAGATTTGCCTTTGGCTCCTTTACCTCTTGTAGCAATCGGAGTAATTGTTGAAGTGAGTCGGAAGGAATGGACAAGGGTGACTGCGGCGTTACATGTTAGGTATTAGTATTTCCTTTTTTTTATAGAATTTGTGCCCGGGAGGATACCCATGAAGTTTGTAGCAAAATTGTTGTGTATGACCAAGTATCCCACAATGAGTACACCGGGGTCGTGGTCGATTGTTACCTGGACGATATGTGGAGGATGATGCATGTGCCTTGTTTGTAGAAGATTGGTTGGCAGCAGCAGTAAACTGAGGCGTAGAGGATGTATGAGATTGCAACGGGGCTGGTGCATCAATGTCAATTCGGGTAGCCTAAAGAGCCGAATGATCCACTACATGTCCGTAACTTTCGCTCTGTACACGTTGTGATTCATCTTGCAACAACAATGAGTAAGCATTTTTAACAGTAGGAAGTGTACCATTAAGCAATAGTTGACTCCGTGGTTGAGCAAAAGTGTCTCGAAGGCCCATGAGAAATTGCATCAGTCGGTGACGCTCCACTTGTGCAGTGTATTCCTGGCGAGCAGAGCACGAACATTTGGGTGGAGGATCCAACAGGTTTAATTCGTCCCAAAGTGCACTCAAATGATTATGGTAGTCTGCTATGGATGCATCACGTTGGGAAAAAGTGGCTATGCGCTTTTCAATTTCATAGATGCGAGGTCCATTCGCGGTAGAAAATCGTTCCTGTAAATCTTTCCAAGCAGAGGCAGCGTCGGTGGCATATAGGACTGTGTTAGCCAGGGACGAGTGTATTGAATTGAGGATCCATGACATCACCATGTTGTTCACCCGATGCCAACGAGCGTGATCGGGATGTGCAACATCTGGCATGGGAAAGGATCCGTCAACAAAACAAAATTTATTGCGCCCTTTAAGGGCCATTGTCATCGCTCGTGCCCAAGAATTGTAGTTATCAATGCCGGTGAGAACATTGCCAACGAGCGTGGTGCCCGTACCATCAGAAGAGTGGAGGTAATATGGATTTTCGGCATCGAAAGGAACGATAAAGGATTGTCGCTGAATGGTAGAACCTTGACCAGTGTTCATGGTGGATTCGTCTGGATTAGTGGATGCATGGAGAGGGTCTGTAGGTGTTATTGTAGCCATATTTTGGATACTGTAATGAAGAGCCAAAAGAAAAGCATCAAAGATGAAGAAGCATTGAGCAATTGAAACCTTCTGATACCATGTAAGCTTTGTTATGTACGCATGAATACATGGAGTGAGAATAATATATTAAGTATGTATATTTGCTTGCAGTGAATTGAGGAGTACATAGCATATATACAAGATGATGTTAACGGTAAAATAAATAGAAAAGGTAAGAATAAATAAAATAAAGATATTTACCTAAAGAATATACTAATAGTTTGGAAATAATATAACTAAATATACACATAATTGATATAGCAAATATTCTTCTACAGATATAAAGAATTTTGAGAAGCCACATACACATATAATTTACTAGTGGCGAATTTTCACTAAGTGGATCCGCATTCCATCCATTTTAAGTAGATGCAGATTGCATGCATGGGTGCGAATTTGGCGGATCCTTGGTCACCCCTAGCTTTTATGATGGATTTAGCTAGGGTCTCGACTTGACTATTGTATCATTTGGTGTTTTCATTGAGGTGTTAAAAAGTGTCCAGAGTGAAGATGTCCATTTATATGTGCACCACGTAGGAAAATGTTACCTAGTGCTTGATAAGATTTTGTATAAAACCGTCAATAGATTTCAGTGATCTATCATCAACCTCAAATTTTTAATTTAAAGCTAATTTTGGTGAAGTTAAGATCTTGACTTATCGTATTAAATGATTACAACTCTTTATTTTTTGGAACATTTTTCTATTTATTTGTAAAAATATTCCAAAGGCTGAACCCCAATCCTAAGGGCCCCCACACATCGACCCGACAAAGCATTTGGGAGGATGTAAATCATGGTGACTCAACAGAACATGAATAGTAGAGGCTAGACCAGTGCTCACTGCGCACAAGAAACCCCCTCACTTTAAGAGGTTGCTCCCACACTGTCGCTGGTGAGACTCGATCCCTGGACATTATTCCAAAGTTTCACCTCTATGACCAATTGAGCTACCCATGTGGACGTTGTTTTGAAGTTCGTGCTTCGTCCTCTAGTGCAGATATGCGTTGAGCAAAGCTAGATGGTCTAGCCCTCACTTTCCAAGATTTTATATAGTAATTGGACTCTGGGAAACTACATTTTTATTTGGCACGCTATTACACTAGCCGAAAAGCTAATTGAATGTTGAAAGTTAAAATTTGAAAATCAGCTAATTGATTGAATTTAAAGTATTTTGTAAAATTAACTGTTGAATAAGATATTAAGTATAAAAAGATATAGAATGATATTTTTATAAATTTATATATTCAAAGTTGTGTGTGTGGGGAAGGGTTCAGGTGCGAGTATAAGCTTCCCATGCGATTATGCGGTTGACGCATCTCAAACATTAAAATTATGCATCTTAAATACACAAATCACGCACCTTAAGCACACAGACAAAGCACCTTAAGAACACAAACCATTTATCTTAAGTACACAAATCACGCACCTTAAGCACACAACAAAGCACCTTAAGAACACAAACCACGCACCTAAGGTTTTAAAATGGCTCATCTTAAGTTTCAGATAACTGACGCACCTTAATTAAGCATACAAATATCGCACCTTAAGAAGGAAAAGAACGCACCTTAAGCACAAAAATAACGCGCCTTAAAAAAGAAAAACCATGCACCTTAAATTTGACCTAGATGCAAAAATTATCAAATTGCCACCGCATTTTTTTTTTTTATTTTGGTAATCTGGACGTTGATTTAAGCAAGATCAATGACTCAAATTTAACCGCACAATCGTACATGGGCGCACCAACCGCATTTGAACCTAATTTTATATATATATATATATATATATATATATATATATATATATATATATATATATATATATATATATATATATATCATGTTTATGATCTAGCATCCCATAGTAAAGTAGCAATATTGTTTATAAAAAATACACTTCCGTTAAAGAATTGAGAGGAAAAGAATGTTTATAAAAAATTTAGATATTAGGGTTTATATTGAAGAAGGATAAATGGTAACCAGCTTGGTTAGCATGAGTGTATGTGCACTCTCGTCCCTTAAGAGAGGTCTGGAGCTCCCAAACCCCCTCTCGTATGAAAAATCAATATGACCAGCACTTTGTCCTTTAATTGGGCTGGGCTGGTGCAAACGGGATTGGGCCTGCCCGGTGTGAACAGGGATTAGTCGGACACCTCGTGATCTGACCCAAAAATAGAAGGATAAATAGTGTTATTTTTGAAAATTAATAAGGATAAAAAAAATGTTAAAAGCATGTATCTTATGTTGAAACGCTACTTGGAATAGCGTTTCAAAATAAACTATTTTTTTTAACTCTTCTTATTTTACCAAACAAAACTATAGCTTATTTGTAGATTAAAATATTCTATAATCTCTAAAATAAGTTATACTAAACAGAGTCATTCTTTTTGTGTGTTTATAGTATTTGACTATTTGGTATCATCACGTACTGGCACAGTACTGTGTGAACCATAACAAAAAAGTATATTTTAAATATACTAAAAGTAAATTATTCGTGTATTGAATGTACATTATATAAAATAATTCTAATATTTTAAAATAATAAATCATAATATTTTAAAATAATATACTTTCAGTACTCAAATAATATAGTTTCTCTAAATACAATGTACATTTTTAATATATTAAAAGTACATTATTTATGTATTGAATGTACATTATTTGATAATATGGTCGCGTACTTCTGGGTTAATTTGAATTCATTTTGTAAGTGAAGAAATATCTTTCCTAAAACTTTCTGATGTTATAAATTTGATCGCTCTACCTAATGGAACTGACCAACATTTGAGGAATCACATTTATTTGTTTACTTAAGTTTCTTTAGTTTTACCTCTATCAATGTCTAACATGTATTTTTTTCTCTACATGTTTGCTAATATAATTAGCTTATTAGTCAATTTTGACTTATTTGATTATTATTATTAGTCGTTTGACTTGATTAGACATTCAATATAAATGTTTGATAAATTAACTTTTCGTTAAAATGCCAAAATTCAAAAAGTTGTTCAAAGCAACTTTTTCGATAAGCTTTTTAAGAATGTCATTTTGCATGTAATCAGCTATCAGCTAACAATTAACTTACCAAACATCTTTCTACAATCAGTTAATGCTATCAACTAATCAAACGCATTAACTTGATCAGCTAACAACTAACAGCTATTTACCAAACACCCCAATATATTTTCAAATAATTACACATTGTAAGAGTAATAATGCTATTGGTATTTTTCATGTAGAAATTTTACTTTACATAATATATTATAATTGATTATCTTTTCGATCAAAAGCTTTTAAATAATGTATTTTCTCTGAAAACAAAATACATTTTTAATATATTAAAAAAGTATATTATTTGTGAACTAAATGTACATTATTTTATAGTATACAAAATATGGTGTAACATCTTGTGTGGACCATGGTCCACATAATAATGATTGTAAGGTTACAATATAACAACGCAAATTATGCTGTGGAAACGTGTTCAACACAAGGGTAGATCCATAATTTCTATACAGTAGATTCATAATTTTTATTTTTATTTTTGAAAACGTAGATTCATAATTTTGTTTTTTTTCATTTGTTGTTACAAATATTATGAATCTACAGTACAAAAATGATGAATCTATAATATAGAAATTATGAATCTACAGTACAAAAATTATGAATCTACAGTACAGAAATTATGAATCTACAGTACAAAAATTATGAATCTACAGTACAGAAATTATGAATCTATAGTATAGAAATTATGAATCTAGAGTATAGAAATTATGAATATACAGTATAGAAATTATGAATCTGCAGTACAGAAATTATGAATATACAGTACATAAATTATGAATCTACAGTATAGAAATTATGAATCTAGAGTATAGAAATTATGAATATACAGTACAGAAATTATGAATCTATAGTACAGAAATTATGAATCTATAGTACAAAAATTATGAATCTATAGTATAAAAATTATGAATCTACAGTATAGAAATTATGAATCTACAACTTAGAAATTATGGATCTATCTCATTAACAACAAACAAATGAAAAACAAAATTATGAATCTACGTTTTTTTAAAAAAATTATGAATTTATTGTATAGAAATTATGGATCTATTCATGTGTTCACTTTGCGCATGGTGAACACATTTTCACAGCATAACTATTCATATAACAATTGCAAAGTTCGGCATTAGGCCTATGGGGTCACAAGATGGGCCAAACGTCACCTAGGCCCATATACTAGGTTAGACCTAGGCCTCAGCTGGCAAATTAGGCAATTTATATCATGCACCAGAGCGCACATTGCATTGTGTGCCCTAGTACAAAATGATGTCGTTTTGCACTTTTTTTTAAAAAAAAAATTTCATTTTTATTTTTTGCTGTTAATTTCATTACAAAAAAAAAAAATTCTATATTTTAAAAATGTATATAATTGTATAATAATAAAATGTATATAATTGTATAAGAGAATGTACATAATTGTATAACAGAATATACATAAACTTTTAACTGTTAAAAAAATCGCGTGTTTGGATGTACATAATTGTATAAAAAATTGTACATAATTGTATAAAACAATGTACATAATTGTATTCCAGAATGTACATAATTGTATAACATAATGTACATAATTATATAACAGAATACACATACACTTTGTCGCGTCGACTTCCTACACAACTTAACAAAATGGCTTCGTTTTGGGAGGCGCGGGGCGCACATTGCTATGTGCACCGTGGTGCAGGGTATAACAATTGGGCAAATTATGTTGTGGACCTGGGTCCACCTTGCAAGGTGGACTCAGATCCAAAATGGCGTCATTTTGCTTCAAAACGGCACCGTCTGAATTTTTTAAAAAAAAAAACAAAAAAAAAATTGCTTCCTTCCTTGACGTTTGTCTTCAGAATTCGTTCCTCTATAGTCACAATTTTTTTTAACTCTATATTCACAATTTTTTTAAC